GTAAATCAGGGTAATGGTTTTTAATGAACATTGCTCTGTACCTAAAATTATTTTGGGTTGCTATTTTGGTAGATTTACAAAGATATATGCAACTAAGTTAAAGTAACACTCAGAATTACATTAAAAGTTACTCGAGTGTGATGAAGTACTCGAATACCGTTGTTACAAAAACTCGAATTGTTATTTGAGTGACCAAACTTGAGTCAGCATTCGATTCTTTTAGACTATCAAAATATGTACTTTAATGCCAAAGAAGGCCGACTCGATACATTTCTATCCAATAAGTTACTAATTTCAGCTACATTCTTTATGATTTTATATATTTACTTAGCATTGTGTAACGACTAGTTTAATAGTCCTATATTATACAATTTCGACAAGTACGCGAAGAGTGATTCGAGTCCCAAAGTCGAGTCAGGATTAAATTTTTTTTACTACTAAAGTACTCGAATGCCAAAGAAGGCCCACTCTGTACATTTCTATCCAGTAGGTTACTAGTTTCATCAGCTTCTCTTTATTACGTTATATATTTACTTAGCATTGTGTAACGACTAATTGAATAGTCTCATATTATACAAGTTCGTTACGAACTTACAAATTCGGCTCAGATAATTCCACTCCTTCATTTGTATAGGTACCCTCATAATTACTTAACCAAGGGCCAGCCTAATGAGGATCTGCCAACAGACTTATATAAGAGCTCTTATATCTACGAGATAAAGTGCTTACTTAATTTCAAATAAATAAATGAGAATACTAATATCATATTTTCAATAGACTTTAAAAAAAAATTCGTTCTTATTTCGGTTGTACTTTTTTATGTTTGTTACCTCATAACTCTGTTAGTTATAAAAGGGATTGTTAGTAATATAGACAACTAGTCTTTTGCTAGCAGCTCCACGTGGTCCGCCTGAAAACCATCGTGCTGAATTCCAGGTGTATTCACCACGATGGGCTAACTGTCTTGCTTTTTCATTCTCACCTCATCATCTCTCACTGGTGTTTGGTCAGCGTATACCGTAAGTGTAGGCGTGGTTACCATTGCATTATAAACAAAAAAGCACCCATATTATAAATTCTGTTCAGTTTGAATCTAGATGGCGCTCCCCTGTATATCGTCATAGTCGTAGAATACTGACGGATCTATATATGTAATATTTGTCAGATCCGTCAGTATTCTACGACTATGATGATATATATCTAGTGGTATTAATTATTATTATAATGCCATCTACTGAGTAGGTAAACGACTCAAGACGATATAAACATAGATTAATCGCTATGACCCCCCAATAAAACTGTATCCGAACCTTTTTCTTTCAAGTGAAACTTGAACATTAAGTATCTACATGCCTACACAATAAAAGTAATTTATTAACCAAACTCCAACACTAACTAGTCCCTATATTATCATTAAATCGTACAAATGGCCGGGCCACACCGTGAGAGGCCTAACAAGAGCAACGGTCCCAAAATAACGTAATTATTTTGTTACTTAAAACGGCCACGTATCTTCGTTGACTTTCCGAGCGAAGGTGGAATTAGGATCTATTGCATTTAAAATTTGAAATATATAAAGGTGCTGACCTACATAATTTTGTATTTTAAATCATAATTGTTGGGTACTAAGGCATAAAATAGAATGAAGTGAATTTTTTACAGGATTACGAGAATTGGGAGAGGCTACAGTAATTATATTATATCTTACTTACTTATCTATTACATCTACCCACTGGTAGCTATTTATACGTGCTTATAGATTTTTGAGAGCACATAGTATATTAATGTTTCAATATTTAAGTATTCCAACAAATACCTACTAAATAAAAACATATGTTTATGTAAATTACCCCTATACTACTGTGTATCGGTGGTGAGATCTAAAAAAAAAATTGCATTATACAAATTAGTTACACAATTGTCAGTACTGCTAAAAAGCCTATGTTTAATATCTATATGCATGTATATGATAACACGAGTACTGCTTCCTACAGGACAGGCTCAGCCTCGTGTAGGAAGCAATGATAAATTCTGTGCTGATACAAACATACTTTGTTAAATAAATATATCTTTATCTTATCTTACTACTACCTGCATACAAACACATTTGTCACGTCTCTCTTCCATTGGGGTAGGCAGAAATAATGAAATGTCCAATGCATCGATTTAAAATAGACCTCTTTCGCTTCCTTTACATTTATAAATTTTTTCATACATGCTCGCCTGTTACTTTTAATTTGCTAATTTATTCAGCACGTCGAAGAATGGGCAAATTAAAAGTACCCGTACTAAATCATTTCAGCCATTAACTGTCCACTGCTGAACACAGACCTTTATAAGGGTTGCCAGTAGTTGCGGCGCTTGGTAAGCGGAAGCAACCGAAGTTAGGTTTTGGTGATGTTTAAAGAGGGACGCTGCTGCCTATTCCTCGACCATTAAGTTCCCTTAGTCGCTTCTTACGACACCCACGGGAAAGGAAGGAGTAGCCTATTCTATGTCGGGACCATACGATGTTAAAGATTTAAACGTAGTACCTATTTAGTATAGAGGACATTGGGCACCTTTTTATATCTCGGTCATGTAAACGAAAACGTGGGTAAAAAACTAGTTAACTACAAGAATATTGAAATACTTAACATTAAAGTAACACTTTGTAAGATTCAACTTGTATTTTACGATTCCTTGGGACACCATTAAAAGTCTACTTAGTTATCTAACTACTATGTTATTAACATTATTAAGTTAACGAGAGAATCAGAAAAAACTCGGTTTCAATTTAAAGAGTTTGTCTTAGCTCAATTAAATATTTATTTATTTATTTAACACTTTATTGCATCAACATTACAGGATTTGTTGAACAATTTTCGATAAGTACAATGTAGTACAAAAGGTGGTTTTATTGCTTAGCAATCTTTTTCAGACAACCTTTGGGAAGAAAGAATTAAAGAATGAATAGGTAGATGGTGCGGTAAAAAAATAATAAAAAAAAGAATAATAATAATAGAGCTGTAAAAATAATATAAAATAATAAATATCTGTAACAGCATTATATATATATATATATATATATATATACACATAACACATAGGTGGCGCGTTAAAAAATGATCAAAAAAAAATATCTGTGTAAATAAGCACAATTATATACATAAATGTAAATACATATATACAACACTAACATATTATAATATTCTCAAAGGGGAACATAACAGGAAACAAAATAAAGTAGGTACACAAAGTTCCCACCGACATCCAATCTTATTTTTCAAGAAAATATTTAATCAAAATGCCGTTATGTAATCATTATTAATTAACATACCTGCCGATTTTGTACACTTCCCTTTGAAATTTAATTAATGGCGTCAGAGCTTTGTAACAATACTTATAGTACCTATAATTTAACCTTTTAACCGCCCCTGTCTGATTTATCCAACAAATATTTTCGGGCCCGTGCCGCCTCTGTTGGGTTTACTCGAAATAGAATCTATTATTCAACCAATTTCATAAAGATTTTCAATTCAGGTCTATTTTTTTTATGTTTCATCATCATGATTTCAGTCTCGTCCACTGTCCACTGCTGAACATTATCCTCCATCCTGGGGAGTTTTAGCAGTAGTTGCCACACTTGGCAGGCGGGTTGGCAACCGCAGTTAGGCTTTAGAGATGTTTTAAGAGGGACGCTGCTGTCCATCTCTTGCCCTTCCTTAGTCGATTTTTACGACACCCACGGGAAAGGAAGTGGTAGTCTATGTTATGCCGAGACCCCACGACGCTTTTCATGTTTATTACTTGAAAACTCCGTCAGTTCTAAATTGATTTGGAAGATATTTTTTTTTATCTGAAAGGATATACTTACAGATTGGTCCAATAGAAACTTGATCTAAATTGGCTCAGTAGTTTCATTTTTAGATCAAAATAACTGGTTTTGTCAACTTTTGTCACAACTGTTTTTTGTGAGAAAAAAATCTTTATTTCATTTATTTAATTGCGCATCACATTAATTATGAAATATTAATAATGTCAAATAATATATGAAATATTAATAATAATAATAAAATCAAATAAAATAAAAAACAAAAGTTGATAGATTACATATCCTGTATTTTTTTTTACATACGTAAGTACTTTTAGAAAACCCTCCAACGAATAAGCGAAGTGTTCATGAATTTTCTGAAAGTTTCAAGATTACTCAAATCTTTGACCTCTCAAGATAGTGAGTACTATATTTTTTATGCATATCAGAGATAATATATTACATTTATATACGAATGTGATTTTAATATTTTTTTTTCCTTTGCCGATAAAAAGTATCCTATATCCTTCTCTATCCCGCATAGTACGTGTATCTACTCCAGCCTAGAGTGGGGGGAAAGGGATTGTTAGTAATGGAGTTTGACAGCCCCATTGTTAGCAATTTGCCCTATTAGATCGACCTCCACGTGGTTCCCTCTGGAAACCATCGTGAACAATTCTTGTTGACTTCGTCACGATGGGCTAACTGACCTGCTTCATTCACTGGTGCCCCGCCGGTGGCGCGGGTGGGTTTACCATTCCATTCCATATATATATATATATATATATATATATATATTGGTTTTTGTGTATACATTGTTTTATCTCTTTACTGTGTATGTCTGTTGTTATTTGTGTGTTGTAAGTAATCCAAATAAATTATTATTATAATGTAACCATAATAAACACCATAAGATAAACAGTTTTTTTTTATCTATTGCTTCTGTCCCTATGTTTTAATGCGACAACCTTCATATCTTTGTCATATTGACTATCTTATACATTTACTGAGTTTTTTTTTTCATTTTTTTTTCGCTTACCTAAGTATTAAGGGCGCTGAGTTAGTAAAACAACCGTGTCGCCATAGCCGCGACAGTGGATTTCATGTTAGCATTTTAATGTCGCAAATACCGCGACAACGGAGTGCAAAGACTAAATAAATAAAAAATAAATAATATGATGAAGTTTATAAAATAAAAAAAAAGATCTTAGTAATAAAATATTTTTATTATTCTTATTTTCTTAAATTTAATTAACATTCGGATATAAGTATAACTTAAAATGTAGACAATTGTATAACACAGAATTGTTACCTTAGATCATTATTATACATTAAATAATATAAATAATTGAAACCCCTATTTACATAAATATAAAATAAAAAAAAAAAAACTCTTTTTCGCAAAGCGTTAGAGAGATATTATCTATATGTAATATGATCTAAGGCTACAATTTACAAATGTCTGTGCAAATATGTGGCTGAGGTAAAGAAGTAATATATCAAAACAATTCTCTATGGGTGGAACCCAATTTCGTGGGGGTAAAGGTTAGCTAATAATCAGGTTGAAGTCGGACTTGAAGTCTCATTACTAGTAAAGTACCCTATATTACTGGTAATGTGGCAAAACAGGTCGATTTCAACTCGGTTCTCCTGAATACCATTGTGGCTAATTCCTCACTCAATAGTACCCCTCCAATGAAGTCGTGGTTACCGGTATGGTAACCCCGACTTCATTATTTTCATTAATAAAAAAAATTGTAAAAACAATAAAAAAGAAAAATCTCTGAAATAGGTTACACCCATTCACATTTTTCTGCTATAAACTCGTTACTTTGTTTGAAGATTTTTTAAATAAATAAATAACAAAGTATTGACAATCACAGCCATTCCATATTGAATAATTAAGTTGATTATATGAAATTTTATTGATTTATAACTAACTATATTATAATAATACTTCTCATAACTGAATTCAAGTCCAGTAACTAAAATTTGTGAAAATACAACAATGTCCGTTGCATTATATATTTTCATAAATTTTGATATATAAATAAAATATTATGGAACCCATGTAAATGTTTTTAAACTTAAACGAAATATCTAAAGAAATCCATAAATGGAATAGATCCATTTTAAGTTTTAATTTTATAATTGTTTTACGTATTTAATTTAAAGTTAAAAGGCACATTTATTTATAATAATAATATAACAACCTAGTAATTACTAATTACTATTATAAATGCAAAAGGGACTTGTCATGTTTTTAACGCTCTAAACTAACAAATCGATTTGGTGGAAAATTGGCAGCGATAGTTAATGTCTTAAACTTTAGGACTAACGTCAGATTGGACGAATGGTAAACCTGCCTCTGTAATTGAGGCGGGGTTATCATTCCATTTTCAAATGTAAAAAAAAAAATATAGTGCTATCAATTAGGTAGATAGTGGATTTACCGCGTGGAAGATCCGCTTAATCTAGCTTTAGTGTTAATTATATTGAAGACTGTCATTAGTCCTAAATTTTGTTCAATTATAATACATGAAAATGCTCTCACATCGACCGTCTATATTTTTATCCTGCATCCAATAATTATGTTACTGTAAAAGCTCGTGCATTGGTATATCTTAGGATTTACTAAATTAACTAAAAGTTGGTAAAATTCAAGAATTTTAAATAAAAAAAAAAATTTTTTTGAAGTCTTTACCAAAGCAAACCTAACTTAACGTATTGTTCTGACTACGAGTGCGAGCATCACACACTTTTTATATCTATTTTTTATTATTTACCATGTTTCTGACGTAAATACAAAAATTTGAGATTTACACTAATTCGGGATTTTATAAAAACAGATATATTATTTAAACATATTTACTGCGTGGTGTTCATACTCGTGGTCAGAAAGGGAAGTTACGTGAGGTGAAAGCCAAAAATTATTTTTTAATTATTAAATTTGTTTTTTTTTTATAAAACCTTACATTTACAATCTCATGTTGCTAAATCCTAAGATTTACTAATGTACATACTTTTACAGTTACATTTGTACCTCATAACAGTCTTAATTATGTTCACTGGTTTATAAAAAAATTAAAGGACTGTATAGAAAAAAAAATCGAAATAGTTAACTACGTATATATAAATACAGCATTAAAAAATTAGAACGTATACAAACGTTATTAGACTTATTTTCTATTATTTTATCTTTAATCGTATAAAAAAAAAAACTTTCCATTTGGTCCCGCCAAACATGGTTTAAATTATTCCAAAATATAATTTCTATAGTCTAATGAATTCGAGCGCGAATTTACGGGAATCCATAAAATTAATTTTAGTCTATTCAATTTTATTACTATTTGTAATATGAAAGTAGTTGGTTAGGTTTCTTTTGTTGGAGTTTTGAATAGATTTGGATGAATATAAGAGAAATGGTTTGAAACGATGGATCTAGGTGCTGAAATATAAAGCCTCTGTGATATTACGTTGACTTAAATTGTCTGTAATGGCTCTTTTACACAATGCTGTGGCAAATATACGAAAAAGTTGTAACGAGTGTACAAAATCGTCGTAGTTAGTGTACAAAATCGCCATGGCGAGTGTACGAAATAGCCGTGGCCAGTGTACAAAATCGTCGTAACAAGTATACAACACCGCCATTGCGAGAACATAAAATTGTAATTGTGAGTATATGAAATTGTCGCAGTGTTATAAATGGTTTATATACAACACAACATAATTATTTATCTCCGCGCATTTTGACGCTACTGTCGCTGCATCATGTAAAAGAGACCTGTTACTTGTCTAAAGTTATTGTATTCGAAAATTAAAATATTGCACATTTTTTTTTAATTCAACAGTCAGTGTTATTATGAATAAAAATTTTACTATTTTTAAGTTAATCAATGTACTTAAGTAGTACGAAATAAGAAAACTCTGGCAGATGCGATCGTAGGTAAAAACTCACTGGATTTTGATTCTTTGTTCACTTAAATTCTTTGCTGCTTGCAATGTGTTGTGCATCAACATGGCCACAGTCATGGGCCCCACGCCTCCGGGAACCGGAGTTAGGGCACCTGCCACTTTCACCACTTCTATTTAAAACAAAAAAAAAAAAACAAATATAACGCAAATGAATAAAAAAAAAAAAAACAATAATGATGTTTGCTGTGAATAAATTTTTGGAAGATAGTAATTTATAAATTGATTTTTTTTTAATATATTTAGGCCTTATTCACACTGTGAATTTCTAGCTTTTGTGATATATTATAATGTACGTATCATAACATGTCGGGTAATAACCCCAATAACCGGGGGGAAAGGGATTGTTAGTAATGGAGACTGAGAATCCCATTGCTAGCAATATACCCAATCAAGTCGACCTCCTCGCGGTTCCCCCTGGAAACTATCATGGTTAATTCCTGAATGAATTCATCATGATGGGCTAACTGGCCTGTTTTCATTCTCATCTATCACCCTTCACTGGTGCTCCGCCAGCGTATCCCGTTAGCGCAGGCGGGGTTACCATACTACTTTCACCCACCAAAAAAAAAAAAAAACCCTATAACCTTTATTTATATTTCATATTTTAACCTTATTTCTAATCCGTATATCCGTATCATGGGTGAAACAGTATACTCTGTTATTTCTATGGTACTGCTCATGTCTATAGGCGACGGTTACCACTTTCCATCAGGTGGGCCGTCGGCTTGTTTGCCATTCTAAGTTATATATATAAAAAAAATATATAATGAAGTTCCGCAATAAATTTATTAAGTTAAATTAGTATAAGATGACGAGTTTTAAATTAAAATTTCGCTTGTTTTACTAAATAGACGTTAATTATTATTGCATAGAAAAAATAAATTGCTTACGAGAAAAATCAAATTAAACACAATTTAACTTACCATCATAGTCAACATCTCCGACTAACTTAGTTTTTCCCTCGGCATCAGTGATCCTTGTAATGCCTACGTCAATTACGGTAGCGCCAGGTTTCACCATGTTTGCTTTTACAAGACTTGGAATACCTAGGAACAATATATAGGAAATTGTAAAAATTTCTCTTTAATAAAATATCACAGATCCTAAAGAGCTATCCGCACTGATTAGTGACGACATGTGACGATCAGTAGATCGATTCCTATACAAATAAATCTATTAAATATCGATTGTATTCAGAATTTGTTCGATGGAAGTCCTATTCAAAGTTAGCATTCACGTATGATTTTAATGCGCTTTGATAAGCATTCAACTGAATTGATTGGTCGATTGATTGATTGAATATGATTCGAAGCGAATTTTCATCGAACTAAATTACAATCGGCGACGTTCAAGGTTGAGACGTGAATTGTTCAAACGACTCAATAGCAACGATATTACAGCGGTTTTCGTGATCTATTCTTCTTAAAAATAATAAAAATATGACCCAATTCTATCCATTTCCCGTCATTCATCTTGAACGCTGTCAGCAAAAACATTTTCAGCTAGAAATTCATGTGGGATTGCAGGGGGCGTCGGCGAAATACTGACGTCACTGAATGTCATCGACACTGATAAATACCTACTAATAATATTGAACACTATTGTATGATATAATACAATTTTACTGTGGCCATTGGTTTTAGGTGTCAGTATTGATGAGTGTGAATAGTGCTTTAAAATTAATATAGAACTAACAGAGAATTGCAAAAGATCGATTTCAAACGTAATTATCAAAATGAGCTGACACTTGGCGAAAGTATTGAGTAAAAAAACGATTTAAAAACATTCTCTTTTTTCCCAAGGCATTTAAAATCTATTTCTTATTTGTGACTTATTATTATTTTACTATACAATATTCGCCGTGTAGGTCCCAGCATAGGACGGACCACACCTTCCTTTCCCGTGGGTGTCGTAAGAGGCGACTAAGGGAGCATATGGTAGAGGGATGGGCAGCAGTACCCCTCTTAAAACATCTTTAAAAAAAAGTCTAACTGCGGTTGCCAACCCGCCTGCCAAGCGTGGCAACTACTGACAAAACTCTCAGGGGGAAGGCTAATGTTCAGCAGTGGACAGTTAATGGCTGAGATAAAAATATTCTACTAACAATTCAAAGTGTGAAAGATTGTAAAGGTGTACGGATAAATAAAAGATATTTAGAAGTTTCATCAACTACATAATAGTTGAATAAAGTTAAATAAATTTGGACCGTACCCTAATATACATAGGGTACTTTTTATAAAAAAATTACACCTAGTTGAGTATAAATACTAAAAGGAATTACCTGTGGCAGTAACAATAATGTCGGCGTTTTGGCAGTAGAATTCAAGATCTTCTTTAGGAGTGTACCGGTGGCAAATTGTCACTGTGGCGTCCATGCCTAGGCCGCTTTCGTGTTTTTTGTCTGTATGCAGCATAATAGCTATGGGCATTCCTACGTTTTTAGACCGACCGATAACCACTGCTCTGCGACCGTGAGTTTCAATGCCGCTTCTGTAGAAAAAAACTAATGTAGGGCCAAATAAAAATAAATTAATATCTTAAAAAATAGTGTACTTAGAAATGCTCTTTCATTCAAATTTTTTTGTGATGATCAAATTGTCATCATTTTATTTCACTCCCAAGATGTCGAAAGATTTTACCATAAGGACAATACACCAACTCGAAATAAAACCATATGCCAAACCGCCTGGCATTGAGTACTGTCACGTTTTATTTTTACTCACTACACAGAGAACATTACAGTTATGTTAAAGAGGGCAAGATCAGAAAAAGAAATAATTGTCATGGAGCAGCTTATGGTTATGTTAGTTTGCTTAAATAAAGTCACTGGTTCCATTTGTTTGAATTTTGGAAACAACATTTTTCAAAATTGCCTCAGTTTTTCAACTAGCGTTGTAATAGGTTATGGCCCCAGATATTCGTTTTCCTTTCGCATAACACACGAGTATCTTAGATTACGGATCAGACTGTATCTCTTTTAATACTATTATAATTAAAAGTAATAAAATACCTTTTAATCATTTCAATAACACCAAGAGCTGTTGCTGGAACTATTGTTTTCATGTCCAAACAAAGTTGCCCAACATTGACTATATGGAAACCATCAACATCCTTAAAGGGAGATACGGCATTGCAAATTTTCCTTTCATCCATAGTATCAGGCACTGGCAATTGGATTAGTATTCCATCAACCTCATCATCTTCGTTTAACTCTTTGATTTTATTTAGGAGAAACTCTTCAGTGATTGTATCTTCAAATTTAATAGTTTCCGCATTAATTCCGCAGTATTTCGCCGCCAGCACTTTGTTTCTTACGTAGGTGTGACTCGCTGGGTCATTACCAACGATAATACACTGAAGAGATGGTACCCGATGTCCTTCGTTTACCCAGTCTTGTATTTGACTCTTCAATTCATCTTTGATATCTTTCGATATCTTTTTCCCATCCAGGAGTTTGGCCATTATTCTATTTGGAAATACATACTTGTGAATATACTAACGTCTAAGGATCCAAAACATATGACTATATTTTGGTAATTTCTAAAAATATTTTAAAATAAATAATTTGACAGATTCCTAATATTACTTGCAATAAAAAAAAAAAAAAAACGAATTCCCATTAACACATTTCACAGATTTTTGTCATGTCAGAAATATGTCAATTTAAATTAAATATGAATAACTATGGGATCCGTTAAAAGTTACATTTTAGACAGCCAAGTGTCTATAAAAAGTTAATTAAGGGTCAGTAAACTATAGAAAAACATTGTTTAACCTATAAATAAAACTACAAGCACTGTGCGTTGTAATTATTTCCAAGCTACTATTAAAAAAAATGTAATATTATTATTAGCATAAGGTGAGTAATTAATTCACTGAAGGACAACTAAAAATAGCATCAAGAATTGAACTATAAAGTTATAAAAATAACACAAAAACCACAATGAATCTAAATATAAATATGAACAAGAACTAATATTAAGCATCAACACGGAAGGCACAAAAGTAACACTTTTTAAATGAAACATTTTTTTACCTGGCCGACCCCATCGACTCAGTGTATGTGTGACTCCTCATTGTGCTGGTCAGAAGTGTACTGACTAACCGGAGGCACGAGATTTGCCTCATCGCCTACGACTGATGTACACAGGTCATTAGGTCACACAATACAAACAAAATATTTCATGTTTACTATTGATAATAAGGTGATGAAGCAGAAATAAATCTTACAAACAAGTATAGGGATAATTCTTAGAGATTCACAATTTACTTCTTAGTGTAATACGCGAGGAACGATGAATGGAACTGTAAAATATTTTATGTGTATATTTTATGACTGTTAGGTATAATAAAAATACTCTCCTAAATGAAAGAAAAAAAAAAGTAACAAAAAATTTTAATAATTAAATGACATTCAAAGTCAACTTTAGACTTTGAAATTATAAATTAGAAGTTAGATTATAAAATAATAGATAGATAGATAGTAATTTTCTAAGATGTGTGATAAGATATATTTTAGAATTTAGTTTTCTCTATCTATCTCATAAGAGATTTAGCGTGAAGATAAAAAAATCAGATTTAGAAATTATCATCTTCATCTCAGCCATTATATGTTCACTGCTGAACATAGGCCACCCCATAGACTGCCATAAGGAACGGTGCTGAGGCACCTGCATCCACTGATTCTCTGCAATGCATTTGAGTTGTCACCCCTCCAATCTAGGGATTATCCTACATTGGATTTGTCCATATGAAATAATGGTACATATTATTAACCCAAATTTAAGACTCATTCTAATATCGTCATAGTCGTAGAATACTGACGGATCTAACAAAGATTATCTGTAAAGATCCATCAGTATTCTACGACTATGACGATATGTTTGATAAAAAGTAGGTGTGTCTGTTTGTGTGTTTATCATAATATTAACAGCTTACTAATCCCCTCTGACTTAACCTCTGAAAAAAACCCTATTAGGGACTGGTGTCATGAACATATTTATTAATTATTATTATTTCTTTGTATTAACTTTTACAAGACCAATTAGCTTAGTACAGGGCCTTAGCTGTAATATATTGTCTAATTTTATTAGTTATTCTTATTACACGGTATAGGAGGAGTAATAAAATCTGGATGAAACTGCATTTTGATAATAAAGTAGAGCACTTCATACGATTTTGGGTTAAAAAGTTCAACACATATCAGAGTGAATGGTGATTTATTAACCAGTTGCAACTGGTCTAGAACTTGATAATGACATGGAATGGATAAACAGAATAATTCCAGTTGTAAGTAAAAGCAATAGCTTGTATCAATGTAAAAATAATTTATCTATATATTTATAGATGTATAAGTCATTTTACAATATATTCCTTCTAAATGATTAAAAAAAACAAGTTTTCAATTTGGTTATATTTTTTTTTATGTAGTTACAGTTATGAAACTGTTCCATTTATAAATTGATTTAAAAAATTCTTTTTTTTTATCAGAAAAGATATACTTTCAGATTTTGTTTTATGAAAATCAGTTCAGTAATTAAGTATTTATATAAAAAGAACCAATTTTACCACAATTGAATCAGTTTTTTTCTGGAACTCAAACTATAAACATCCAGCAATTGTCTATTTCTTTGATTGATAAATAAATAAGTATTATGTTAATTCATATGAACAGAAACAATAAAAAATAAATGGACCTGTTTCACCTTTTCCACATACATCAATCTAAATAAATAAAAATTAATATTCAGATTAGTAATACTTAGTTTAATATTTTTTAATTTTCACTTTTTCATAGATAAAGAATTTTTTACTAATGGGAATACTGGAAAATTATAAGTGATAGCTGTCACTGTAAATAGTTACTCTGGGATTTAATATGGCTGTTTATATAAATAAGGTAAAAATGCTTTAAATATTTTAATAATAAAAATGTTATTTTATCATATTATTATGACATTGACATTGAAGATTCAACACCCGGACAATACAAACTTCTGTAATTTTAACTTTTTATTTTTTTATACAACTTAGAATGACAAACAAGATGACAGGCCATCTGATGGAAAGTGGATTCCAGACAAATTATCTTTTTGAAGACTAGGCAGCATGGTCTCCGACCTTAGCCTGTTCCAAACGGAACAAACGTACTAAAAAAAAAAAAAATGATGGAAAGTGGTAACCATTGGTTGGCTGGTTGGTTATGATACAAATCAATGGAAGACTTTAGAAAGTTGTTGGTATGTGCATGACTGTTTTTTGATAAGGATCTTTGCTTTAAGTTATAGAGTATGAAGGCATAACATCTCAAAAGCAAAATAAATTACACCAACCCCAAATAATAATTGGGATAAGGGTAGGAAGATGATGATGAAGGCATAACATCTCAGTCCTCAGGAATGATAACACAGGAGAGGACCTATTGTTAGTAATATATCTTATCAAGTTGACCTCCAAGCGGTTCACCCTTAAAACCTTCATGGTTAATTCTTTGTTAAATTTGTCATTGTGGGTTAACTGACTTGCATTGCATTGTCACATATAATTTCTCACTAATAGCTTACCAGTGTACACCGATAGCGAAGCCAGGGTAACCCTTCCATTATTATCTATTAGAATTAAAACATGGGAGGACCATGTCACAATATGTCATATTCTATTACTTATTTTGTATTCTGTGATGCCTGTTGGTGTTTTTTTTTTAGCATGTGCTTATTTGCCATTCTAAGTGCTATTATATTATTACATTTGTATGTAATTGGTTTATTTTTTTTCTTTATTCTGTATACAATAAAGATGAATATGACATCACATAGAGAGCAATTTGATATATAAAAGAAATACACAGCAGGTACACATTAAGACTTAAAAGTAGAGTAGAGATTCAGTCAACTTTGATAGTATTTGAAAGATGTTTGATCAGAGAAGTTGGTGTTTGAACGCATCTGATGAATGTACTAATTATTTTAGATGAGAATGATTTACACTATTCAGGTTGCATAGGTACTTACCTCAATAATTCTTCAATTCCTCAACAGATACCATATAACCACGTAGATTTGAGTATGAATATTAATTAGTTCAAGATAACTCAGTAAGAGGTTATGTGCGAATTATTTGTGATAAATTAAATTTTCACGTTTGATGATTAAATTAAGAAGTATGATCGGAAAAAGGTAAGTGTAAGGTATTTTATTTAATGACAATTTATTAAAATGTGGAAACAAAAAGCTTTTATCTCAAAACTGATGTCTTGAATTTGATGTTTGACGTTATTTTGACTTAGACAGTGACTTTTATGACATTTTGAAATATCCTGTTTGAAAATTACATTATCGGTCTGTTTTGTTTAATTTTTTTTAATTATTGGCATACTTATTATAAATACCTGTATATGGAAAATCCTACCGACAAGGTACTCAATCGATTATTCAATTTTAATACCAAATAATTATTTATATATATTCAGTATATATAAATAATTATTTGGTTGTATTGTATTTCATCTGAATAAACTAAATTCTATCTTCCTATGTACTACCTTGGTGGTAGGGGGAAGAGATTGTTAGTAATGGAAACTGATGGCTGATGAATTTGTTACGACTAGACCGAATGATCTGTTATTCTCACCTGTCATCTCCCATTGGTGCTCACCAATGTATACCAACAGTAGAGGTGAAATTACCATTCCATTATCATCGACCATCATTACATCATTATCATAGGGCATCGCTCGCGTGAATCAGTACATAAACTATCCTATGTGTAATATTAGGATAAGAGTCTACCCCTCTACTAAATTTCATTTAAATACATTCAGTAGTTTTAGCGTAAAAAGTAACAAACATATATCCTTCCATCTATCGTTATTAACTTTTGCATTTATTATAATTTAACTAGCTTTTACCCACGACTTCAACCGCGTTATCGACATATGCTAACTGACCAAGAGAAAAAGTAGCTTATTATCGTCTCCAGGTTAACATCTGTTCACACCTATAATATTAAGTTGAAGTAAAGCATAGGACTATAAATATTTTGGCATTCTGACAAGTTACCAATATTTCATCGAATACATTTTACCCGACGTTGTAGGGGGCGTGCCCTCCGCCTCGTAGATCAATTTGGTTTTTTATTCGAGGTTTACTATGACCAGAGTATTTTAGAATATTCATTATCTCAATTTCAGGTACGCGAATTCATAAAGTTATGCCACCAGATGAATATTTACATCAGTCGATACGTTTCCATGCGAGTTTATCGTTTCACGCAGCACTGTCGTGTAGCGTGCTACACTCTTATTACATTAGGTGGGTGCGGTTGTGACGTCTTCTACCTTATCCAGAGTTATCGGAGGTCATTGTTACTCGAGATTACAACAATTAGCGAGATGCAATAAAAACATCTTGTTACAGTGTGTTCTCGTCTGCGCGTTTATTTTTATAACAACCAAAATAAATGTCTCCTTCGTAGATAGATAAATAATTTCTTATAATATCTATACCTACTAGAAATACGCGAATTGTGAATTATTAGCTTATGCAGTAGATTTTTCGCTTGAAATTTTTAATAACATCAAATATCTTTTATTTTTATTGGTGCATCGACAGGCAATAAAGCTTGCGGTCTACTTATAGACGGATGTGAGCGGTAGATCATAGCTTATAATAGTTGTTTGAGAATAAGAAACATATCTCGCGATATTCGATCCTTGATTAGGAAAAACAAAACGCCAGACATTGCTGTCTCTCTCTACGTTCTGCATGTCGTAGCGATAATAAATCAGCCCATAGATAAAGAAACAAGTGGTCTCTATGGAGCAAGATGCTTGGCAGCATGAGTAGGGGAGAGATTCCTACCTACAAATGTATAGTTAAAGACGAGCCCCTTTATTCATAAAAACTAAAACTTTCTACAAATCTATTTTAATTATTACACTGTTTTGTCACTTTCAGTCAAATTAAGAATTTAACACTAAAGAAAGAGACAAACCATATAAGAGGTTTGGTGTTTTTATGATTTAGACGGGAAGTCTTTCTCTGGCGAATGTATTATGAATAATATAGAAAGAAATAGAGGCACTAGATAATCTGAGAGATATACTCGTAAATTGATAACATTAGGTTCCAAAGAGCGATATTTTAATTGCCTGATAATGCCTTGATTAGAGGTGTTATATGTATCACAATGTGAGTGTAAACTAAATAATGGTCAGAGATATTACTAATAGGGAAGGTCATAGTGCTTTTACTAATCAGTCCTTAATATCAGAATTAATTGTATCAGTATCAAATGGTAGCGGAAATAAACAAAATAATTCTAACTACCTAACTATAAAGAAAGTTTTTTTTCTATCATTTAATCTTTTTGAGACGGATAGGCAAAAGGAATGCTGCTTTTACAGCTAAGTCTGATGTATATATTTTTTTTAAAGTAGATATAACATTAATTAATGGCCAGTTCTAAAAACCCATTATAGATATATGACATTTATAAGCAAACACGATTATTATTAATGCATGGAAATACGTCATTGGAAACGTACTTATCACTGCCCCCTGCGAATAACTTTTATACATACAGTGATAATTTGTAACCTTTGTTGACTCGTATTGTTGATAATCAAGTGAACTTGTACGAAAATAATTTACTAAACAGTCTGTCTCAGTAGAGTATCAATAAATAAGGATTAATCATATAGGCATACAGGCAAAGCTGCAATAATAAACATAACAGAATATATATATATATATATATATATATATATATATATATATATATATATATATATATATATATATATATATATATATAAAAAACGCATTAAAAATGAAGATTAGTAGTATATATCGTGGTGTTTGCTTTTACAGCGAATCATGTTATGTACAAGCGTTAGAATACACAAAGGAAGACAAATCTCGTCTCAAATACAGACGCTCGATACCACTCGACAACCTAAGACCGTCGACAATTCTCACCGTACGTCTGAAAGTCCTATGTAATGTGACCGAGTCAAAAGGACCATTATTATCATAGATTTTTTTTTTCATTTTTATGCATTGACTACAAAAAAAGTGAATTTTATGTAGTTGAATATAAATGTGGTACCTATTAGTTTTCTTTAAAAAAAAATAGAATAAGGTTTCGTAATTATGTCGTATTGGCAGTGTGGTGATGAAATGTGGTTTTTTTCCATTTAATTATTGATAAAAATATTCGTCTTATACAAATACATTTAAAGTTTCACCAAGTTATTGTCGAATAGATAAGTCAGTCACCTCTCGCAGTCAGATAAAACACTGACCAGATTATGGTATCGTCAGTTACCTATTGTTATTGCGGTATGGATGGAAATAGAATTGTAACCCTGTTATAGGACTAGAGGGAGATTTTGTACAAAAGTCGTCTGCTTGATTGCTTCTATTTCATTCATGTCTCTGCCGTGAAGCAGTGTGTTTGCGTGCTGTTTCGGTTCGAAGGGTGGGATATGACAGTAAAATTACATAGGCATAACACTTTAGTTCTCAGAAATAGCAATATGTGAGGGATATCGTGGTAGGCACAAGGTACTCTGTTATGTCCATGGTATTGCACACACTTATAGGCGACGGTTATCACTTTCTATCAGGTATGTCGTTAGTTTGTTCGCCATTTAAGTTCCTTATTTTTTTTAAGGCTGGAGTTGAAATACACCCTCCTATGCTAACCTTATACAATGTCAGGACATCAGTGTAGGATGATGATGACAGAATATCGTTTTATTTTCAAACCATTAAAAAACTCATTTTCACATTTTATAATATTACTATTTAAATATAAAAAGAAAAAACATTTTCGTCGTGGATGGAATGAAAAGAAAAAAAAAAAAAAAACTAAAATCAGAATCATTATAGAAAAATTATGTTTCAAATAGGTTCAGTTTAGGACTGTGTAGGTATTTTCTCAATTTCATAGAAATACAAGGCGCGTACCTTAAAAATTAATTACATTTTTTTCGAATATTCTTAGCTGGGAAACTTCAATCTGGCAAGTTCGAGAGAAATCGTGAAGAGTTTCCGATGGAGGAAGTTACTTTCCACTCACTTCGGCTAATATTCAATTAAAACTTTTTAATTTCTCTCAAACCCTTAGTAATATTTTCTGCTACGCCCCACCCGGTCCAAAATAAACAATTTAAATATTTGGCTGCAATATTTATCAACTCTGTCTTTGGGGAACGAAGTTTGCTCTTGTTTTGAAAAATACTGATTTGAGTGCTTATCTGTTAAAGTATTAGTAAAAGTATAATTTTGTATTTTATTATTAGAAAGCGAATTAAAAAAAAAACGATTTATTGAATCGATTCGTATAATGTAATCTATGATCGATTCATAAAAAAAAAAACAGATTATTTTGTGTGTGCGAATTTGAATTACGAATTCCAATCTCGATAAAATTAGTAATATCATTAACAAAAAAAGGAATCATAAAATAGAGTTCAAATTGGCGGTAAGTACAAATAATATCCACAAAATTCAGTCGGAATGCCATGAACAACTTTTTGAAGTCAATTGAAAATTGAACTCAGTTTTAGGGTAATATTTAATCTTATAGGTCGATACAATTTTCATTGGCGTTTAAATTTTAACTTTGTTAAAAAGGAAATTAGGAGCAATTGTACTTTTAAAATGTAATAAAATATTTTGTGTATTCAATATTTCGTTTCACTAAATTATATTTAATGATATTATATAGTTACACATAGATTGTTCACATAATGCCGAAAAATGATTATGTATTTTTATATTTTACATTTTTGAGTATAGATAGGTTATAATTTGATACGAGATGATTATTTCTGATTGCATCTGATATAATAGGAGTCCCAAAAAAATCCTGGAGTTCCTACCAGCAATTTTTTTTTTAATGTTGTCTATTTTACCTGTAATTATTATTAATTATCGTTATTAGTAATAAAGAACTATATACTTATATATTTATTCACAAAAATATTATACTTTTTTATATATCACATTATTTAATTAATTAGTAGATTATGAGTATAAATACGATAATTTTGAAGTAATTAATGAACGATATTTTATGGGTAATGTTAATATGGTAATCCTGTCTACGCTATTTTTATGGTATAATTATTATACCACAGAAATTATTATTCTTATAATAATTTTATTTGCTGTAATTTTGGGTATAAAATATTAGATCTTATAAATTAAAAGTATCTTACAAAATCTATTTACTTAGCGTGTAAATATTGAAAACAAAAGAT